TCATCATAGCTATCACTGCACCATTCATTAGTTCCTTCCTAGCTTAATCTCTTCTTTGAGACTTTTGAACCCAATCACGAAATAAAAAGTGTTGCATGTATGTGTTCTTAGGAAGGATTGTTACAGTAAATCGAGTTCTTTGAAAGAAGGAAATTTGTGACTTGTCTTAAATTACTGCACCTTTCATTTTACAGTTGTGTTAAGAGTACTTGGAGCATCCAGATCTCAGTTCTGCTGACATTGTAAATGACAACATTACACGCATGTAAAGGCCTTTCCAGTGTATAGTACCAGTTTTGAAAAACCTGACTTTACATCTTTACATGATTTATTTGAGTCCTTTGGGCAGTTTTCCAGGGTGGACTATTTCACAGTCCCAACACTCACCTCAAGCAAGTGTTAAAAGTAGGCTTCAGCCAGCTGTAACTGCAACATGAAAAGAAACAGCTGAGACCTGTGGCTGAAGCTCTTCTGTATTTCAGCCAGTACTCATGGAAATATTTTCACATGTTCATTTCTGCATAAAATGGGCCAATGTTAGAGGAAATTACAGCTTTGCCTGATATATGTAGACACTGTTTCCTTCTTGTCAGCAGAGAACCTACATGTCTTGCAACTGTACATTGAGCCACAGTGCAGCCAACGTCTGCTACAGCTCATCCCCTCACTAAGCCCTTCTCCTGGGAACAATCAGCTCTGCTGTGGTGTGGGGTGATGGGGTTTGGTAATTGAGATAATTGACTGCCGGGAAAAGCAGCTAAAGTTCACAGGTTACATTTCTGCAACAGATGGGAGCTAATTAAAATTAACATTAAATGAAGTAATCTACGTTATATCTGAGAATCAACAAAATTAAATGACTCCCTATTTCCTTCCCTTTATGCTTTCTACCAGTTGTGCTATCACTTAATGATCATGCTGTTTCTCTCAAGCTTCATGTTCTCTCAGAATGCTTTCTGTAGTTGTTGCTTTCCCAGCGCCTTCCAGTTCTGGGTTCCACAGCAGCCTCTCCCTGCTTGTCTGAGCTTCCTCGCCTCCTCGATTCTTCATGCAAGCAAGTTTTAGAAGCCAAAAATCAAAGACATGTGATTGTCTCACAGCAGTCAAGGAAATGTACATTTCATGCACAAATGGGAGATTTTGCACAGGTGCCAAATGAAGCTTGTGTTAGCCTCTGCCTCACCAGCAATGCACTTGCTGCTAAGAGCAGACTGGGAAGATTTCTCTGCAATGTGGCATTGCCAGGAGTGAAGTTTGCATGAGTCTGACTACAGTATAATCTGCCAGTTGTGCTTTCATCTGCAGCAGAAGAGTGACACCTCATGTGGGTCAGCCTGACATGCAGGTGGGGATTGACACACTCTGTCCTAAGCCTTATTTGGCCGAAGGTGACAGGTCCCTGTGTATCCATTTTTTTATCTCCTCTCCTGTAAGAACAGGCAGTTAGGTTCCTTTCTTAGTCGTAAATTATACTGAGGGGTAATGAAGCACAGCTTGCATTTATGACAGCTCTGCTGGGCAGCCATAAAAAAGAAGCTGCTTTTGTTGTAAGTGGAGACACAGGAGCAGTGAATGCCAGGAGACTAGTTTGGGTAGTTACAATGGGTGAGGAAGGCATTTGGTTCTCAATAAACAGCACTTTCATTGCTTGCCTCTCACCTCACAGGAGCACTGTGAGCTGGTGCTGAGCTGCAGGAGAGCTTGTGCAGAGCTAGCGAGGCTTATCTGGGTACTCAGATGTCCAGCCTTTCTCCAAGCGCTCCCAAATGCTGATGACAGAGCAGGGAACACAGAGGGCTCAGGGAGGTAGTGAGTGACAAGGACACAGCTCAGCACTATGGCAGCGTTCCTGCTGCTTGGTCACCATTTGGCAGAACAGAAGTAATAATCCTTTTAATATTGCAGGCCAGGGAGCACAGCTCAGTGGCACTGGCTTGAAGTTATTTTATTGGATGGGAGCTATGTTCACTTCATGATATAGATGTCGCATTAATAACTTCCAGTTTTTCAGAACTGATCAAACTAGAGCAACTGTTTTGCTGAAGACATTTGAGGGTGACTGCAAGTGAGCTGCTGTAGTCTAGAATTGTACCTGGAAAAGTCAGGACAGAGATACTTAAAGGCCGATGCTTAGGAGGAATGAAAGGTATATTTTACTCCCACACTGACACCAAAATAAATTTTATTCCTGATTTTCTTCTGTTTTCTGATCTATCTTATTTAGCCCGTTTTGCTAATAAGTATTCATCCTTCTGCTCACATTTGCTTGAGGAGGGAGCCATATTCTGCAGGCCTGCAGTGAGTGCAGTCTAGGCTACAAAACATGCCTCTGGCCCTTGAAGTCCCACATATGAGTAAGCCAATAGGGATGCTCACTCTGTTGGTGTGCAGCAGGGCTTTGTGGGTAGGAATCAAAAGTTCACCTTAATGTGAAGTAGGTAGCTCCAGGGGCTACTTTACTTTAGCCCCACGTTGCTGCATATATGCACTTAGTGTGTCTGTGGCTATGCCACTATATATATCCATAGTATGTGGATATTAACAAATGCACAGGTTAAAAACCAAAATTTGTGTGTGTGTACTGTATCTAAGCATGTGCATATTTAATTTCTTTTGAGGTTGTGTGTACCCTTCAATTAAACTGAAAACAAGAGGGATGGGGAGAACTATTACAGCTGCATGCCCAGAATGCCAGAGACACAGTAAAATTTCTCCCTAAGCAATTCAAGTCCCACAGAGGTTTGTTCAACACTGTAATTTAGCATTCCTGGTGTAAGCAGCTCAGTCAGACCAACATTTAATACCAATGGTTTAGAGCTGCTGTGGGGTTGGGAAAAGCTGGCTGCCAGCACGTCTGGCCAGCCTGGCTCTCTGACATCGCTTCCCAGCTGTAGGATGGGCAGCACACAGATGTCCACGTGGCTGGGAGCTTTCAGCTGGATTTTGGAAGAGGGGAAGAGTCCTCTGGCAAACAGTGCCTGGCATTCACTGCATCTTTTGGGCTGGACGGCAGTTGAAGATATTGCACTTATTAGTGCACAGGTGATAAATATTAGTAGCAAGTAATTACGAAATTAGGCTTGAGAACCTCATTGTTCTATCTCCTGAGCAAACACAGAGGAGGAAGGGTGTCCTAGCCCCAGGTTCCTCTGGCCTCACTGAGTGACTGCTCACAAAGTGCAGTGTAGCTCCCACAGGTGAGCTAGTGGAGGGGGAAATGAGCAAAAAGCTTTGTGAACAGATTCAGGGAGAGCATTGTGCCCAGAGGACTTCATTTCATCCCAGCCAGCAGGTTGCATTACTGTCCCTGGAGAAGAATGAGCACATCCAGTGTTTTGAAATAAAGCAGTAAATAATGGCAAAACACAGTGAGGATATGTGATGATGTATAAGTGAAAAACATCCTCTTTGGACAGACTGGAATCCTTTCTGAGAAAGTGGATTAAGGACAGACCCTTAGAGTGTGAACCCACAGCACCTTTTCTGGATATCATAGCATGGTGGTCCCAGGGGACTACTTGCTCAAAGCTATCTCCTCATAGTCATCAAGTGTTCACTGTAAAACAAACAAACAAAAAAACAATTGCGATCTGCTTCTGCCTAGAAATGCTTTCTAATTGCAGGAACCACAATTAGAACTGGTGCTCAGGAGACAGCCCCGACCTTAACAGGTCCTCTCCATGGCTGGCACAGGGGACACCAGCAGAGGCCCCTTCCCTTGGGGATCAGCATCTGCTTTGGCTTTGAGTCCCGTATCTCTCTGTAGCTGCTTTTTGTGGATATCACAAAAACGAAGACCCTCATCACGTGCATTGTTTGCCGGTCAGCTGTGACAGTGCTCCTGAGCAGAAGCCAACCAGATGTGTGGCATCCCCACGTGAATCCTGGAAATGTGTCACTGTGGGGTCATTTTTCAGGGCTGCTTGGAAGAAAATCCATTTACTCTCTGCTCTGACCCTCTGCTTGGAACAGTTGTTTCTGCCTTGTTTCTTTAAAGCTTTGGCTTATGAAACCTACTGTGTGATTTCACCTGGGATTATTTGTCCATTAAACATCAGCATCATTATTCTCATAGTAATGGCATTTAAAAGGCATTGCCATAGGGATGCCAAATTAGATCGTGATGACTGCAGTTTCAGGCACTGTATATGCACAGAAACGTTCTGCCTGTTGGGGGTGATTTCAGGCTCTTTTTCCCTTAACCTCTTTCTACTACACCTCCAGACTGTTGGTGTGGTGTCTGTGGCAGGTATTATCAACAAGTGCACACAGGGGGAAAAATCATGAGCAGCTGTGAGGAGGTAGAAGCTCCTTCACAGCCATCGACAGCCCTCACCCACCCTCAGCCAGACCAGACAGCAGCTGAGATCAAGCAAGCTAGGGCAGAAATGCAGAGGTTTCTCGAACACTATGAGGTAAGGGGACAGTGCCAGGGTAAAATGCTAAAGCCGTGTTTCCCAGCTACTCCAGATATAGCATAAACACAGAGGAAACAATGGGTGGAAATGCTGTGCCTGTAAGGCAGTGGGGTGGGCCTGTATGACTGCGCTGCGCAGAACGAAACACCAGATGCTGGAGCAGGCCCAGCCCAGCTGTATCATACCACTGCCCACAAGGTTCAAATGGCATATGCTTCTTGTACTTCTCATTTCTCAAGTCGTGGCATTTGCCTGAAATCTGACTCGCTCAGATACAGCTGTGCTGTGTAAAATATCAGAGAGACGTAACCAGCAAAGAATACAAAAGCCAACAATGCAAAATGTGTCACTTTGTCTGAGACCTCCTGTGTTTAGAGGTTTCTCAAGACCACAGACTGACCACCGGCTTTGCATATCCTTTGGCTGCCATTAGGGTAGCAGTAGGGAACCATTACTGATGGCACACAGCTGTGAAGTTAAATCCCTACAGAGGGAGGTCTAGAGGAGCAGCCACAATGCCCCACCTCCTGCAGACCATAAAGAGCCAGGCTAGCAAAGCTGCTGTACCTCAATATGGTCCCTAGAAGGTGCCTCAGGCTGAGATGTGTCATAGGAGGTGAGTTAGAGCTCTGAGGGATGAAGTTTAATTGACAAAATATGTTTTATCCCTTCAAATAAATGGTACTGAGCAGAAAGCTCAGAAGAGGAATGTGTGTCAGATGTTAATGGTAATTACAATTTTTCCAGTTTACAGTTCTTGCTTTTCCCCTGGTCCTAAGCCAGGCTTTTAGATGATGTGAGCTAGTCTTGCATAGCATCTGATTATACTAGTACTTTATCTTAAATACCAAATTCTGGTAATTCTATGGAGTAATTAATTACTCATTTCCATTCTGTTACTTTTAATTAATTTAGAGATTTGTGAATGTATATTTTCTACACCCTTAAGAGAAGCTGAGGTGTTCTTGCTGATACATGGTGTTGTCTGAGATCTACATATCTTTGTGTTGTGAAATTGTGCTATCGGTAACTTCAGGTGCACAAAAGAGATGAGGGTGCATGGAGAAACTTGGGCTCCCTCAAATTCCTTGCCTTTCCCAGTTGGGTCAGTACCAGGCACTCTGCTATAGCTAAGGGAGAGATAAGCTGTGCAGAGGTCTGCTCTCTGGCTAATATGCCAAGGCTACTTCTAGTGTTGACAGCAAGAAGTTGGCATGCTGATGAGAACCTGAGTCGAGGGTGTTAGTACTGCCCATAGCTTCACGGTGAAGTGCTCACATTTACATGGACCTCAGCAGGGCAGAGTAAAAGTCGCTGCACATTCATTGGCTCTGAATGCATACTAGTCTATGCAAGCACTGTTATTCTAGTTGTACTCTTTGCCTCAGTGAACAGATACTTAAGGTAAATGTCTCTTAGCTGCAGTATCACAAACCGAATGTGCTAGTTCAGTTAGTTGAATTCTCTTAACTCAGGGCAACAAGAATGACTTTTAAATGCTATGATTTGCCTTTGGAGATGTTTAGGTGCTTCTCCACCAGATAGACATCAAGAACAGCATTCACACAGCTAAGATTACTCAGCAAAGGAGAAAAGATTATTATAGCAAATGATGTAGATGTGTTATGCAAGGCCTTTGCTTTCCCTGAGCTGTTCTCTTTGGCACTTAAGCAGAAGTGCATGTTTGCTGGTAATGTAGGCTTGCTGTGTAACCTAATTACTCTGCCCAGACTCAGTGTGTTTTCTAGACACCTCTTGTCCCTGCCCCATGTGAGCTCTAGCTGGTAGCATTAGTAATCTTCTATGTAAATAACAGAATATGCTCTTGGAAATAATTATTTGTTCACTTTTAATGAAGCATACCAATGAATAAGCAGATGCTAATGTTGTTAATAAAATGTGAATAAGCAGATGCTAATGTTGTTAATAAAATGTTGATGTGAATGTTTAACTAACGCTCTTTAAGTGTAATTAACTGGTGACACTGGGTGAAGGAACTTCCAGAACCCCTTTCAGAGACCTAGTTATGGGAATAAAGGCAGAAATAATCTAGACTTGCTTGGCTGATGACCCATGTGCAGTTTGGTTGTCTTCCCCTTGCATGTCTGAGAGCAGCCAAGGCAAAATAGCAGTCCAGATCAGTCTACCTCTGCCGCTTTGATTTGGGTGTGATGGTCCTGACTGCAACTTTTGTGTGCTTGAGAGGTGAAAGATAAGGTTCCTCCTGTAACAAATGCATATGAAACATATAATTAGGCTTCAAATGGCACGTGAACAGTTTTGCTTGGCTGACTGAACTCAGCCTTTGCTACCTAGTATGCTAGGCTTGGGTTATCCTTTTATTGTGTCTTAGATGCCCTATTCCAACTTCAGCCTGTGTCTTTTTGCTGTTTTATTTTGATGTTCTTATATTGTGTATGCTAAATAAAGGCATTTCACACCAGAAAGAACACTTGATGTAAGAAAACTCAGTTGCTACCAGGACACAGTAAAACATTGCACAGTAAAACAGAAGTACCTGGAGAACAGAATAAAGCCAAACTATCATGAACGGGTAACAGGATCCGTGCACAGGCATAAAGGACTTGAGGAACCAGAAAATGCTCCATAGATTGAAAAAATGGTTACAGATAAGAGCTTATTCTACAAAAGCAGTGTTTCTAATGCCCTACAAGGAATGTATTCAAATTGGGTTGGCTAGATAACACAGGCCTGTCAGGGAGTTAGGATATCTGCTATCAGAACAAGTCTAGATGCAGCTGATGATACTAAAGGCTGATGAACTTCAAAGCAGCAGGAGGCCATCAGGTGCTCTGAGCTATATAGCATGAAAAGTTTAGGAAGAGTTAGTGGCTATCCTCACTTGAAGCACTGATTAGATGGCAAAGTTGGGGTCAATGCCATTTGCGGGTATTCTCTTCTGTTCATGATTTGATACCATCTGGAGAACAACAATTCTACCTCTTGATTATAGTAAACGTGATCGTGTTCTGTTGTCTTATAAAAGGTGCTTCTCAACTTCAGCAGAACTCTCTCAAGGTTTGATGAACAAAGCTGGAAGTTGTGCTGTTCATCTTTGAATTGTCTGCCATTGTTTGAAGAGTTTGTCGTTAATTTCTGACGTTACCTACTTAGCATTACTTGTATTCACTGCAGTGCTGAGAAGAAATAATTTTGTTGCAGACTACTTCCCCTTCCTTTGCTGTTAATCTTCACTAGTTTAATTGAGGTGCCTGTCGTACGGTATACTTCTATAATCTTTAATACTTATGCACTGCCTAATAAAGTACTTAAGGAATCATTAGACCACAGTTCTAGAGCAGGAAAAAAAACACCTAAAAGGAAAGTGGTTGTAGTAGTTTATAGCACTAGCTACAGAAACTGTATTTGCCCCAGAGCCTGTGCCAATCTGACAAATCCCAAATTCAGGAAATGTCCCAAGGCAAAGTGAATCTATTTTATTTTTTTTTCCCTGTAAGTTTTCTCATGGTCCTTCTGCCTATCTTTTAGGTTGTTTATACTGGGAAAGTGTTCTGATCAAACAGTGCTTGTGACAATTCCTTCTGCCCTCACATGCAATACCTTCTGCAGGGACTGGGACAGATACAGGCAGTGGAGGAGGAGAATATGGAGGTCCGAATAAATCCAAATCACAATGAAAGGTCTAACAGGATCTCTGCACCTGACACACAGAAAATGATCCAAAGGGGAAATAATGATTTCCACTTTTTGGAAGGAGGATGTCTTCGCTTTACCAATATTCTCTTGTTTGCACAGGGCACCCTCACTCTAACTGAGCTGTCAATGGGCTTGCTGTACAAGGTGACTAGAAATGCAGTTGATCCCAATCTGATAAGATCACTGTGGTCTTTATTGCTTTCCTAGTTGGTTCTGTGCTGATAATGGCTTGTCTCACTGTGCAAAAATTTCATCTTGCATTGAACTGTTGCTCAATTCTGTCTGGCTTTCACCTCTCTTCCTCTAAGTGCACAGCTGTGAACTACTGATGACTTTGCCTTTACAGCCTGCAGCATCATGGGGGGCACACAGATGCTTCAGTCCCAGCTGCTGGTGGGAGAAGATCCAAGACCTTGGTTATGGCTTAGAGTCTTTCAGAATGATTGCTTGCAGAAGAGCAAGGAGGGAAAGGCCACCAAAATGGCTTTCTGGCATGATTTGCTTGCTGCAATGCCTGTGACAATATGCACTAATTTCAGTGAGGGTGAAGATGAACAGAAATGCACAGAGGATATTGACAGTTGGGTTTTCTCTACGCATGTCTGAATTAAATTGTGAAGGACATGACCTGGCCTTGGTATCTGCAGAGTGTTGGAGGTTGAGGTTCTGGGATAAACCTGGCGCCAGCTTTAATTCCTCAAGGGAGGCTGGCAGGTTCCTCTGGGAAAACACCCAGCCAGAATATGGGCTCCCAGGTTGTAAGGATCCTTCATAAAAGACAGAAGTTTCTTCAAGAAAATCCCCAACACAACCAACCTTAATATGTTTTTTAACCATTTAAAGAGCAGCTAGTTCATAATCTTAGCATTTTTAAAAAATAAGTTGTTGCTTTGTCATGAAGACATTAATAAAACACTTTCTTCCATAGCGTATTTTAAGCAAGTGACTTATAGCTGTCTGCCACAGTCTAGTAGATTTCATTTTTGTTTTCCTAAGAGCAAAGATGGAATTAGGAGGTGGAATGACGAACTAATTTATGAGGTTTTGTGACAATGGCTTGACAGACCCAAACTCTACACTTCTAATTTCATTTACAATAGCTGTTTTTTCTGCTCATTTAAAGAGATGCAGTCTGCTACTAGAAAAGTGTAGGAGTATCTGGTACCAAGTGTGTGTGCAAATGAAAAAATTTGAGATCAATAAAAATTATTGGCACGGCCCATCTATTTGGTTTGGCCTTTCTGGGCAGGTTTACTCCACTTCCTCCAACAGTGTTGTATCATCAAAATCCAAGCACAGAGACAGTAAACTGCCCCAAGTCCATTTACGCTTGAAGTAAAGTCCCAGGATGCTACGGCAAGGGCATGGTGGGCACTGCCAGCTGATGTAAATGCATGGTGTGCTTGAGGAGCTCCTATCTGATCTTGCATCCAGAGCTGTGAGGGGAGAGCAACTAGCTGCTGAGCTCCAAGGTGAGTGCAGGGTCTGGCTTCAGAAATTTTCTTCTGCATTTCAGCTCACTTTAATCTCTTTAATCCTTTACTCTTCTGCCTGTTGAGGAGGAATAAAACACCAGAGAACAAAGCACTTCTTATTTTTGTGAGGAGCTGTTAAGGAATGGTGTCTTAATTGCAAACATCCTCCTGAGAGGGAGACAGCTCACCTACTTAGCCTCAGCAGTGATGTACCAGCTCTCCTCCAATCGCTTTGCTCCCAAAATAACTGCATTCAGCTGTGTTGTCTTCTGTTTTTCTTTTAAGGTGAAGAAGACACAAAGATTCATTTCAATGCTGAGAGTTAAGGCTGTTTCTTCTGGAGAAGAGAAGACTCTGGAGAGGCTTCATAGTAAAGCACCTTGGTACCTCCATAGACTTAAGAATGGGTTCTGCTATCTTCTTAAAGGGGGAGATGTGTACAAAGGCATTGCAGGCATCAGATCCAAGTTTCATCGTAACAGTTTAAAGTGCAATGCTGTTGGGTTTTTTTTTTTTTTTTTTAGTTTTAAAAAATTAGATTGACCTAACAAGAAAATCCAAATTTTGAAATAAAATTAAATAGGACAAAATATTCCTAGTGCTAAATCTTTTAAAAGGCAACTATGGCTCCTAGCTCACCTTCTTGTTTAAGACTACATATATGCTGTTGGCTGTTGAGTCTTTTATGCCTCTGCTGAAAGCACAGGTGCCTTTCCCAGTGTTCTCCATAAATGTTTCTGAATCTTTGTGCCTCTGCTATTGTGTCTTGTTCATGGAGGATTTGTTTACTCCTTTCTGAAAGCAATTTTAAAACATCTGGATGCAATTACCTTGCTTTCAGGGCTCTTTATGCCTAATTTTTTTTTTTTTCTTTCCTGTTTCAGTTTCATTCAGACACTGGCACCTCTGAAGGACTCCTTGCTGCATATATTCCAACATGGTTGAGATAAAACACTGGACTTGCTGCCATAAAGCAGGCTTTATTTCAGCTCAAACAAGCTCCACAGTTGTAGCCCTTCTCACAACTCCCTGCCATTGTCTGTGTCCTTCTTCAATCTTTTTCTAGTGTGAGCCCAGACTGGCCACAAGAGATGGCCTGAAAGGGATGGTCCTTTGCAATTCCTTGAAATACCAGGACCGGAGAGGTAGCAGCACGTTATGCTTGAGCCCCAAGTGCTTCAGGGAGCATTTTGGACATCTGTATGTGTAGGGTCTGGCTTCAGAAATTTTTGTAACTACTCTCATTCTTATATTTCTTTGTCTTTATTTAATCAGTTTACTGGATGAATTAATATTAAAAAAAATGCAGATAGGCAAGAGGTTAACACAGAAGAATGTCCTTTCTTCATATTGAACAGACCAGGCCAGAGAAATGGAAGAGTATTCTCATTTAAAATACTATGAATATTTCTAAATTTCAACATACAGATGGTAGAAAGTGACTGTATAGTACACAGTTTAATCTCTGAAAGATCCAGAATGACACCCTACATTTCTGCACAAATTTAATGGCAATGCTGACATTACAGGCTTTCCAGTGTGGGTATCCAGTGCTGGCACCAAGCAATCTGTACCACCCTGTCCCTTTTTGAACACTTCCCTGACTTAATGGCTTGGAAGGATCATCTCTGTTATTAGAAATAAATATCTGAACTAATACTGTTAATTGATACTGCTGGTGTCTTTGTCTTGCATCTGCTGCCATTGCAGTGTATCAAAAACAGATAATTTTCTGATTTGCTTGTCATGTTAATTAGACACTTTCATGCAACATATTAAATATTTCTAAGTGGCAGAGCAAAAATCTCCAGACTGAGGGTAACATGGAATGCTTTAGGAAGTGTGTAAGTTCAAGAGTAATGTGGAAAATTAATACTGTGTACCCAAGAGTGTAATTGTAGCTCTGGCTGCTTTTTTCTCCTTTTCTCAGATGGGAAAAGTTTTGGAGGGGGCTGTTTGAAACGGTTTTGCTGCACATCTTAATTCCTGAGAGGGTTCTGTGTGAAAGCTAATGGGATACAGGAGATTTTTTTCCCTCCTCGCTGTTTTCTGAGAGGCCTCAGCACTGTGCCTGAGGAATGCAGGGTACATCTGCTCCACATCAAAGCTGATTAGGCATTTCTCTACCCTTTGTCATTCTGTATTTTCAGTACATTCCCTGCTCTTTCCATAATTTTCCTTTCTTCCCATTCTTGGCAAGCTTGAAGGACACTGAAAAATTCACGGTTGCACGCAAAAACAAAGAAGTATAAGGCTTTGTTCTTTAAGCATCATCAGAATGATTTCTGGTGAATGAATTCTCAGCACCCCTGCATGTGGCCTGCTTTACTAATGCTGTTACTGGTATAATTTCCAATATAAATTCTCTTCATCTACTGTTTGTTTTATTAGCTTTTGGTGAGCTTTGCTGCAGATCTCCAGATGGATAGCAGTTTAGATTACGAAGGTACCTTTAACCCTGTGACAGCAAACTTTGGCCTGAAAAAAAGCAATTTTTTCTTTTGTTTACAGTGCAGAAGATGCCAAAATCCACAAAAAAGTGTGATAATCCTCAACAAAAGTTGACTCATCGGCATACCACAAGGTTACTAAAATGGCATACTGTTGAGTTCTCCTCTAACGTGGCATCTTGGAAGTGTATAGGCTGATTTCTATTGTTTTTCCTTCAAGGATGGAGCTAAAGGGTTATTCAGACTCTATGCTAACTGGCCTATAAAGCAGTGAGTACACAGTACATTTAAAATGTTGGATATGTTTATCTCTTCATCTGCTCCTGGGTGGCAGCCCTTTTACCATCTGCCCTCTGTGCCTCTTTGTCTAGGCACAAAGGATAGGATCCTGCTGTAGATGATGCTGGGATGTGCACAGGTCTACCTAGGAAAGCTGAAAACTGTCCCGCCAGAAATGCCAACCAGCATTAGTTCTCCCTATGGCACAGAAAAATAGATAACAGCTTTGGGCATCGATTTTGCTGAGCTCAGAGTGATTTTTGGCTTCTGCATCTGGCACATAAGCAATCAGAAAAGCTGTGAGCATACTCCCTTATATGTTATCCCTGCTGAAGGCTGCAGTGTGTTGGCTTATTTTGTTCCTTGTGTTTTTTCCATGAGCCTTTCAGTACCAGAATGCAGCACTGAAGCTTCAGCAGATCCATAGTTTGATCTGCTTATAAACTGTTCTGAGAGCATAAGGTCATCTTCATGCAACCAACTTGCTCATCCTTAAAGTCTTAAAGGACTTTGCTACTTTCCCCAGATCTCTTACCTTGGATTCTGACTTCCCCTGCTGGTTTATGCAGTTCTGAATAGTTTCTATTGATCAAGGGGCAGATCTTGCATGCATTGTTATTTTGCTGTGCTCAGAAGATGAGAGTCGAAGGTGATGACATCAGCAAATATCTGGAAGAAGTGGGAGAGGAAAATACAAATTTAGTTTTTTTCAACATCTTGAATTGGACTTTGGCATAGGAAGACAAAATGCCCAGAAGGCTTTGTCTCTCCTATCCAGGCCTCCTGACTGGTACTTCTTTCCTGAAACAGACTTAACCCCGTTTCCTGTCTATTGCCTTTCTTGTCTGGGGAGGCCACTCACCAGCATAACAGAGGATCAGCCTTCAAAAACTGAACCATCATGTGTACAATTGCAGCACTGTACAGCTATCATGGAAGAGTATTTTGTGTTTCTTCCAGGATTCATCTGCAGTGTGCTTTTTAGTAATTCTCATCTGTATTATGTTTTGTTTCATTTTCCAGACTGCTTTTGTTTTCAAGAAAATATAAATACTTTGTGCCATCACATCTCCTTTCTCAGCAGTACTGGTGGGATTCCACCATGGGCATCTACCACGTCTCTTCTGTACTCCTCACTGCTCTCCTCTGACCTTGGAGAAAGTAAGCCCTCCTGGTAATTCTCCGCCAATGAAAAAAATCATTTCAGTTTTAATTTGCCTTTTAGGCTGTTCTGCTCTCCCTCCCAGTGCTGGCTTTACAGAGCACAAATAGTTAGAATGTGCCATCTATGGGCCTGAGAAAGGCTTGCAAGCTTTAATGATTGATAACATAAGGTAGTTCTGCTATTTAAAGAGGGAGTCGAGCTATATATTTCATTAAGGGAGTAATGGTAACTATTTGAAGGCAACTCCCAGCCCTCAGCTCAAAACACTCCCATACTAAACTGCATCACCCCACAACTGCCTCCTGATAAGAAGCAGGTGTTGATTGTGTCCTATTCAATAGCACTTTATAGGAGGAAAAGAATGGTTGAACAGGAGGAAATAAGGAAATAAAACTCACCTGAAGCTTTTTTTTTTTTTTTTTTTTGTCAGTCTCAGTGTGTCATCCATAGGGAGTTGTAGCTGACTTCACACAGCTGCCACTGACGTCCTGGCTGCCAGGCAGGCCTAGGTTAATCTCACACCAGAGCTCCCTCATTTTGCTGGTAGAACTCTTTAAGCTGAAGAGCAATTTGTTTGGTAATAGGGGGAGGAAGTTAGATTCAGCTAGAAGCTGGTCTGCACAAGCAGAACTTTTCCCAAAAGTGCCCTGCAGTGAGAAATCTCAGTAACAATATTCATCCAAATCTGGGTGGCAGTGAAAGATTTAGGAGGAGATGTGGCCAGATTCATGGTGTTTCGTGCTGGTGATTCCCAAGAATCAGGAGAGCAGGATCCGGCCTGGAGTCAAGATACACACTAGGCTCAAGGCAATCTGTGAGCCAGAGAAGTGCAGAGGCTTCAGGCATGTCAGCAAATCAGTGCTCCACGTGGTTCATGGTTTGCTATCCATATGTGTGCTCTTAGCCCAAGGGGACGGGAGTTAGCCCTCCATGAGGAATGGTTAGCTCATCAACTCAAATTACTTGAAATTCGTCTTGGCTTCAACAGGCAGGGGAAGGCTGGCTCTGCAGGAGCAGGAGCTGTGGTGAGCTGGTATTGCCCTCAGGCTGGCCATTTCCCACATGGCCTGGTGGCAAAGCCCTGCTCTCAGCCACAAGCATCCATCAGCAGGGACATCACATGGACCAACAGAAAGTGGATTGTGTCCCCGTTTGTGTAATGACCACCAGGAACAGACCCAGTGAGACAGCAATTCTATCAGCCAAAATGGAGCTCTCGGTGTCACCTGAGATTTATATTTAGCGTCTTCTGATAAACAAAGGGACATTTTCTGTCCAGCACCTCTCAGTGGAAACAACTTACTTAGGTTTTTAAGCATCCTAGGCATTTAAATCAAAGGGAATGACTGTTGTGGCCTTCTCAGAGGTTGTCTATCAATAGCATGTCAAACAAAGCATTTCCAAGAACAGGCTCATTTCTTTGCTTTACAGCTTGCCCTAAGCCTTGCAGTTTTGTTCACCAATGCCAGAAAAGTCATTCCCAGAATAAAAACAGGCATAGAAGTCTCCAGATCCTCATGTAGAGCAATAATGCTGAAAATACGTATCCTAAAGAGTTTTACACAGCCACACAGTAGAAAATGCAACCAAGTCATGAAATAACACAGGCGGGCACTTCATAGTGGATACAAGACACCCAGAATAAGCAAGAGAATAGGCAACAGACCAGAGGTGCTCAATCTGTCCACTCCACAGGCATGAGTGCCCTCTGAATTAAATCTGCTGCCACCACCTTGACTAAGGCTCATTCTCTGTGACCTGCTGGTGTAGCTCACTGGGTGCTTTCTCAGAGCAGAAGCAGTGCAAAGCCCAGATGTCCTTTGGGAGGTTCTTAGTGATCCTTCTTAGTCATACTCTCTTTGGGTTAGTGGCCCAGAGAAATACTAAGTCAGTTACAGACACTAAGGAGAACAACAAGGCTGAAAGGAGGATGCTTTAACGTATGCAAGAGGTTTCTATAAAGAACAAGCTAGTCTGCAGGGTGCAGCCACTCTATACTCTCAGTTAATCATTTCTGAATAAATATGCTCCTCAGCAAAGCATGATATTGATTCTCCTGAAATCACGCCTGGAACTTGCTCCCTAGTTTGCCATGGATGCAGATGTCATTCAGCTCATCCAGTATGCTTATAGTTTATCTGTCATCTTTTGACTTGCTGCTCCCTCTCTTCACATCCCCAGGTGCTGGCTGTGTCTAAATCGTACTGCCTTTTTGCACCGCCTTTCACTCAGCTCATATGCATACCAAATAGTCAGCTTGCTTTAATCTCCTGGACAACTAGAAGTTATCCTCTTGGCTCATACTACTCTCCTTGCATCCCCACCATGGCTTCCACTTCTCAATGGTGTCAAATACGTACGTTTTCAAAGCCCTTTCATAAATAAATGAAGGAGTTAATCTCTCTCCCTGGTTATAGGACTCTTGAAGAGCCTCAGTGCTGGGCTCTGCAGCCTTTTGCAGAGCCACTGAGAGGAATACAGGTGTCCACTGCTTGCAAATAAAAAAGACTAAAATGATAGTAGCCATACTAAAATCAGCGCCAGCGCTGGCCCACCAGCCTCTTCCTTATAGCACTCCTGCAAAGGCTGTTAGCATCACACCAAAGTGTGAGCACTTTGAGCACACTACAGCACCTTGAAGAGCTCCAGGGATAACCACAGGAGCTGTACATGTTCTGCCCTCTTCTCTTTTCCTAGTGTTAACT